TAGCTGGTACAGTTTTACGGGAAATAAAAAGGGCTTTTTACAATTTACAAGGAAAAAAAAGACGTTTTTACAGTTTACAGTGAAAATTGAATTTTGCAGTGAAATGTGTCATCTGGCCGTTTTACAGTTTCGAAAATGTAATTTCCCTGGATTATTCTTTACGACTTTTTTATTTTGGATGTAAATTCTTGTACGTACCGAGAAAATGACACATTTTTACAGTGTACGAAACAAATATTTGATTGATTACGTTGTACGTCTAGCTTGTGATTACAGAATTACGGAATTTATTTTTTCAATTTACGTTGTACGAACAAAAAAATATTGCAATTACGTTGAACGAAAATAACCCTTGCCCCCCCCTTTAATTGATTCTAAGAAAAATAGAAGATTGCCAGGGAAAAAAATAAATGTCCAATTTGCCATTAGTTAGAGAGTCTACGAACGTCTATGAAATTGTAGTTTTTCATTTCAGTGGAATATTGGGTGATGAAGACAGACTACGTCAGCTACGCCATTACGTATAGTTGTCACATGCAAAGGCCGGACGGGACCTGTAGGAGTGACAAGACAATGCTTTGGGTGCTATCGCGTACTCCAACACTAAGCGATGATGTCAGAAGTCAGCTTGACGACGACATCAGAGATCTATGTGTTGATCCAGACATTGTTATTGACTCAGAAGGTATACATCAACTTTAATGTTATCTTGTACTGAGCGATTAGGGGTAACTGTACTATTAAAGATAGTACGGTCAAAGATATGTTTGTTTGTGCCTGGTTTAGTGTGCTCTACTCATAGTAGCGGGTATATTTTTCCCCGGCTTAAAGGTCTCGTCAGCGCGACTGCGGTACAAGATTACTTCATTTAATGTTTTATTTTCTTCAGATCCATGCCAACCAGAGACAACCGATATGCTCGGTAAGTACTATAAAAACAAATAACACATACTTACAAATATATGTGATTAACTCTTTTTCGCCTTAGATGAGAATATTGTTTTCACTCAAGTGTGGCCATGTGTTATCTCGTGTTTTGTACAACGTCCATGCGGCTGACTGATCCTTGCAGCCAAACATTCTAGTTAACTGATACTTTACTTGCCGCTCATAGACGACTTTCCCGGAAGTCGAAGATACGGCGTTTCGCATGCGCGCGTATGTCGTTTTGGGGTGTAACGTAAACTTGCAGGCGTGATACTATATGCTTCTTGGTGCACC